AAGGAGAGTGAAAGAGAAGGAGAGTGAAAAAGAAAGAGAGACTGGTGTGTAGTGACAGCCAGACCGTGGCGGACATTAAGATCAAGTGATTCCGACGTATCATTAGCGAAGCTCATTTAATAGACTTTAGTTAAAAAATGTGCAGTACTTCAGAGTAGCACGTGGTAGTATTTGAATACGGAAAATGTCATGTTTGTGTCATGTTTCCGTTCAAGACAGACACGTGAGCAAGCGGAAGGCAAATAACCGCCCGTGGCCATTCCCTAGAGACCTGGGTAGATCAAGACAGAATCAACTGCGCCGACTAGACTTAAGATTGGGATGGATAGGACGTGGTAGGACACGACTTAGTCTGGCCCCTTAGTTTTGGCCTGTCCGGCATGGGTGACCCTACCAGTAGTCATGCGTAGAAAATAGTCATGCTACCGCCGGCTTAGCCCTCCACCTCACCGAAGCACACAAGCCTCCCCGCCCGCACGGACAGTGCTACTTCAAGGCGGTGTCCCGAGGGGAGGCAGAAAAATATAGTGTGAATATTAAATCGGTTAATTCAAATTTCACTTTGAGTTTCTAACTCACCTCCACCATTCCGCAAGCATTCTATTCTTGCCTCCGCTTTGAGCTTCGAAGTCTGAAACATGCATAAAAAATCACATTAAAATGTGCAAAATATAAAAAAAATGAACATATACATTTGATTTCAAATCGTTGCGAATAAAGGAACTTGGTTTATATAAAAGTGACGTAGAGCGCACCCTTTCACGGGCCGAGCAGGCAGCCCGTCGGGATCGTGGCTCTGAGTCTCCCCTTTCGACACCAAACGGCGAGCACGCAGCGGCGCCCTACGCCCTTCGCCCCACCCGGAGCTCATCCCCGAACGGAGATGCCCCAATTCACGGGAGAGCGACACCACCCCAGCCCGAAAGAGCCCTACGCCTCACTAAGATCGACTGAAATCCACCCTATGTCCCGGACACGGGTTGGACATGGCACCCCCAAGCGGACGGCAGTAGCAGTTGAGTGCTCTCGCGCTGCAAGCCTAAATAGGTCCTTAGAGACTGCGGCCGCCTGTCAACCGGACAACACAAGGGGAGTGACGTCAATGAGCAAAGCCTACTGCCATAGTGAGACGAAGACGAAGCCGGAAAGACGAAGTCGGAGAAGTGCAGCTAGAACTGGAGCCCCCCGCGCACTACGTATGTCGGAGCATGTCCGTCGTATGAAGAAATAAAACACTATTTTTACATTTACGTATGCGTTATGTTTTGAAATATAAAAATGTCCCAGGGGTTTCATGTAAAGTATTCCCAAATTTTAAAGAATATTTTTCAAAATCTCAAAGCTTCGACTCGAGTCAGATGGACAGGGAATCAATTGGAAAAATTTTGGCAGGGCTTCAATTTGGAAAAATCCTACGCATGGTTTAGGCGGTAGTGGTGTGCACAGACGGGCGTTTAAAAAACCCTTTTACGGTATCATGGGATCCCCAAAAGTATATTTCCGTTGAAATCTCGAAATCGATTTTCCGCAGCCTTTCCTAACTCTTCATACTCAACGTATACTACCGTATACACGGGAGGGTAAATAGAAAGCAGAGCAGTGGAAGGAGAATCCGTTTGCTATCGATCTTCTATAGAGTTTCGAGCGCTCAATGGCGTCACAAAGAAGGTGTTCCGCATCTCGATCATCAGCTAGGCGGATCAAAATGTTTTAGTATCTTAGATCTTTATGTAACGGTTATGGGCAGGCGGATATGAAGGAGAATAGTAAAGAGTTAGTAGCTTTTAGCACACCGTACGACCATTAGCAGTGCTTTAAAATGCTTTTCGGTCTAGCCAATGTTGGGCTACATTCATGAGGCTCATGAACTTAGTAATGCAAGCTTAAGAAACAAAGGATGCGTTTTCTATTTGTTTTTGTATTCACGTTTCATTTCTTAACTCTTCATCGCGGGAAGGATATCATTTCAACAAAACTTGGTATACATTATTGGTGCCGAATTACATTGGGAAAATGAATACTATGTGAGTAGGGCATCTCTGCAGCGGTGGGTAGGAAGGGAGTGACATTTTCAAAGTTATTATCCAACCCGTAATACACATATCTCGTATAGTGGACACAGAGCTGGCTCAAAGGGTGAAACGGGAAATGCTGACCAATAGATGACTGATAAATACCCCGGAAAACCCGGGTATTCACGCCATAGAATTTAAGAAAATGGCAAAATGTACTTTTCTCTTCGTAGTGCGATGTGGATAAGCCGCGATTCCCGCTAATTCCAGAATTATCCTTTTAATATTTTTGCTACCGAAAATTGGTGTATATAGTCTGTTGGGAAAAAAATTTGTAGCATTCAGCGTACTAAGGTCGGATTAGCCAACACGAGGTTGCTGAGGTATGTGAAGTACGATGCAGTGGTAAGAAATAACAGAAATTTTGATAAACAGGAATCGAAATGCCGGAGAAAAGTGTCTAAGGTTAGTGAGAGGGAGGATGTGCAGTTTTGAGAGATTTGTTTCAAACTGCCAGGCAATATACGAAAGATTGACTGGAATTTACACTTAGTACTATGGAATTCTCGTAAAACTAGAGAAAATCAACGCACAATGTTTTACGATGTATTTTTCACTATTTATTGTGTTTGATTAGAAATTGTAGTATTTATTAATAGCGAAGAAAACGAAAAGTAGCACATAAATGAAATGCATCACGGTATGTTTGAAAATGAAATAAGGGCGAACATTCAGAAAAAAAATTTCTTGATCTTTCTTATTCAAGTACCACATTAAATTAATTACGTTCTTCAACGTTTCGACGGTTTCTTCTTGGCCTAAACTTTGATCGATAAATGAAACGCTATTCCCTGCCTCGCCAGTTTCAGGGGAATTGTCACATCCATGCTCAGAGATTGTATGTTCAGATGTTTGCCTAAAAAAGAGTACTTCAGTCCAATTTTCGGCAAATAGCCTCAGCCTATTTTATTATATAAAGTAAGGGTTGTTAATGAGCATTTCGTATTATTTTAATCGGGCACAAGTACAGTAGACGTCCATCACCAATATCACGAATATTTTGTCTTGAAGTCTTAGGCTTCCGCGGCTGGAGTTATGTAAATGATCTTGGTTGTCCGGGCGATGCCGCATCGAAGGCTGTGTTGCCGACGTTTCTGTGTTGCCGTATCGTGGTCTTCTTCAGGGCTGATCTGCCCAGATTCCTTGCCTTGATGATGGGTGCGACATCCGTGTTTAGCGCGCTGTATCACATGCAGGTGAATTTGTGGCAAGACAAAAGTTAGGTTTAGAATTTGGGTAGAGCCACTATAAAATGACTTCATCCATTGTTTCAAACATCAAAAGATCAGTGAAACCATAAAAATCACTAATCAAACCAGTCTACCTACGACTTCGATTCCGGCAGGCAGTAGAAGTTCACCAAAGCTAAACGTATCACGCGAATTTACGACATCTGGCAGGAATCCAAACCACGACTTTCCAACCACTGCTAGTCTTGAACCATAAGGGATTGCTTTAACGGCCGTCGTCTCACTTGTTGATTGCTTTCTGGTAACTATTACAATAAAAGCACCCACACATTCAGTTAGTAAAGAGAAATAAATAAGTGTAAGAGTAAAAGTATAAGCAACAACATCGTTATATAGTATTCGAGTACCCTGCGTCTCGCCGTCCCTGCGTCCACCTGTCACTCACGTCCTTCAAATCACGTCTTGAATTGAATTGATCCCTTACTTTACGTGGCGAGACTCGGTCCATCAGGCCCGCTCTTCCGTCTGACCACGCAAATTTCGCTACGCTCCTTTCACCGACGTATTTCTTGGGCGACGAAACAGGCGATTGGAATTTATCTTAGAGGCGTCATTTAGGCTCGTGGATCTTTTACATGTAAGTAAATCTACTAACATGGGACAGCTGGCTTTACTTCCCCTCCGATGGAAGGCGTACGAATGATTTTTTCGCCTTTAAACATCCACGGCTTCGATCGGGTTTGAACGTCTTCACGTCCACCAATCTCGAAAATGAGGTGGCATTTAGGCGCGCATTAGGCGCGTAGGTTAGGGGAAATCGTGATTCGTCTGCGGATCCGACCAGAAGAGTCAAAGAACTTTCCAAAATAGCATATTGCGGTTTTAGGGTTACGATCCAGTGGTGACCGCGCTAACTACGAGCCCCAGTCCCATCGCCTCGGAAGATGCCACAATCAGCTGGGGTACAATGAAGCGATGAATGGCACAGGCCACTATCGTTGTGTTGCTAGGATGATTGTGTCGCTCGGACACCGCTTTTTACAGCTTTTAGGGCTTGAATCACTTGGAAGGAAAAGGTTCATCGTCACCGTAAGATAATTATCATTTTATAGGATAAGTTTGTTCTGAGTAGAATATACGACTGTGCTAATGGCAAACTCCCCACGTGTAAGATACGTTTGACAACAAAATTGTATTCTAATATAAATCTGTAAGAATGGGACGGTATGTTGAATAATAGAACTTGCAAATGAAAATTTTCTTCAATTACCCGCCTGATAATACGCAGAAAGTATGTACTCTACAGAAAAAGTTCTTCTGGGAGCGTTTGGAATAATTTATCCATCTTCAGTGGTGGCTATTGATCGTAGCTCAAAAGACAGAAAGAAAAAGAGTTGCATCTCACTTTTTTATTATTTAATTTTAATTCTTATTGATTTTTTACGTACACCGTTTGGGATGAAAACTAGCCAACTGTATGTTCAAAGTATCTTTTATTTAGTTTACTCGAAAAGTACAATTTTTTTTAACATTTGAAGATATTTTAAAAACTTTTTAAAGCGTCGGCTTCGCCTCATTTAGCTAGTATATTAATATTAAAAGAAGTTACAACCGATCTTCCTTAGGTGACCCTGGTTTTGCGTTCTCCCCTTGATACGGGAAAGTAAAAGAACAACTCACCTCCGATCTGCGAACTCCTTGTCGTAATTCTTCAATTTTAGTTTCTAAATCAGGTCCATTAATATCATTTGGGTCAGTCTGAAACACAAACACGTAACTCATTACTCAATCATCAACACTATTTAGGGTAAAAACATCTAATAATGCTTTGTTATTAAGTACGTGAACTTATTGGAGAGATATTGTTTTAATTATACTATATGTATAGGAATATGAGAAGGATGTTTGACTTATGACGACTGAACAACAAATTCAACAAATATAAACAATAAAATTCCGGCAGATGATATGAAAATTCTACTTGGTGACTTTAATGCGTAAATTGGAAAAGAATGCAGGTACAGAAAAACAGTGGAAGCCTGTCCCGTATATAAGTACACTAACAAAAATGACACACGACTCGTCGAGCTATGTCAACAAAAAACCTCAAAATTATGTCAACCTCACTTCGGGAAAAGTTCAAGAAACAAAAAGTCTGACAATCACCCATCCATCATTTAGGGGAATTTCAGTTTGATCATGTTGCAATATCATACGAGTGCCAAATGGAAATCCAGATATGCAAGTACGCAGAGGTGATAATATCGATTCAGATCACTATTTAGCCAGAATCAAAATTAAATTCATACCCCAGAGAAACTTCAAGTAGGAAACACCAGTGATTACAAAATTCGATCTCCACAAAATCAAAGACTCCAAAAACACAGAAAATGGGAAGAACAACATGCAAAAGACTGGCAGAAATTTCAAACAAAAATCCTTAAAAAGAACTGATCCCTCTTTACAAAAAGTCAAAACACCCTTGGGGGAATAAAAATGTGAGAATTCACTAGAAAAAATAAAAAAGACGTATGAAAATTACAATTGCAACAAATCAAAAGAAACGCACGAGAAATGTTTCGAAATTGGCAAACAAACGTCCAAAATGTTAAGACAAAGAGAAGATATGTCAATGGCCAACTGGAGTCAATGGAAGACAACTTTAAAAATTACAACAGACACGATTTTTACCAGACTTTTGCAAATAAAAATCAAACGGTACTCACCCCAGAATCTCTGATTTTGAAAAAAAAATGGTAAACTAGCCTTGACAAATAAAGGAAATTGTCAAAAATTAGCAACTTATTTTCAACAGCTTCTAAATTGTCCACAACCCAAAGAGAGATTCCCGAAAATATAACCAGGAATCCCACTAGAAAATTCGTCACCGCTAACACAAGAAGAAACTTAAAAATAAGAAAGCATCAGGGGAAGACGGAATTGTAGCTGAACTCTTAAAACATTAAGGAGCAAATTCACTCGCAGGAATCACCAAAACATTTTTCAATTTGAGAAAATTTCGGATGATTTGAAGTTTGCTCTAATCCACCCATTACACAAAAAAGGCAACAAATCTTATGTAAAAAATTATAGAGAGATCTCCCTCCTACAAGTCACATACAAAAATCTATTGACGTGTCTCTTGAAGAGAACTCAAGAGCAATTAAAACCCATATTGGCAGAATATCAAAGAGGATTTATACCAAGCAGGTCATGTCCAGAACATATTTTCAACCTCAAAACTGTAGTCAAAATTCGAACACTGAGGCAAATGACCCTAGTATGTACATTTGTTAATTTTAGAAACGCATAAGACTCAACACACAGACCCCCATTATTCCACATTTGAGAAGAGAGGAGATTAGATCCCATTTACGAGAACGTATAAAAAACTCTAATTAGCACGAAATCCAAAGTAAAATTCACAGAAAAAATCTCAAAACCCTTCGAAATTGAAACGGTCGTACGACAAGGTGATGTGATCTCTCCTCTTATGTTCAGCATCGTTCTAGACAAGGCTATGGATGAATGGGAGAGGGAATTCAAGGAGCGTAAATTTTGGAAGCCAATCTCACTTGGCTTTCCCAAAAACAACTTCTATATAACCTAGCATTCGAAGGACGAACTGGCGATATTAGCAGAGGACGAAGAGCAGCCATCAAACAGCTCGAAATACTCAATGAATGTGCCGAAAATGTAGGATTATAAATTCCATTCGAAAAAACTGAATTCATATGTTCAATAGCAGAAATCGCGAGTCTGACGACGAAAAACGGTAAAATCAAATGGGCACCATACTTTAAATACCTCGGAGAATTTATCAAACCTACAGGGCTAGAAATACTTTAACAACAAAATAGTCTCCAAAAAATGAAGAAAGAATTAGGACTACTTCAAAACATCTACAACAAAAAATCCATATCAAAACAAACCAAATTTCGACACTACAACATAGTCATAAAACTAGCAGCCTTGTATGCAAAGAAACATTGTCTCTTAACAGGACAATTCTTGGAGCAAGACATACAAAAAAACGGTTACAGACTACAATCAGATAAAACAGGAGAAAAGTTTTCAAACATTGAAACTGACATTAGGAAAAGGCGAATGAAATTCTTTGGAGATTTTAACAGATTACAAGAAAACCGACTGAAAAAAAGATACTAATCTCACTTAATCTTTTTTTGGGGGGGGGGGTTTAAGGTCGCATCAACTACTAGGTCATTAGCGACCACTATTGCTTGTAATGGTATGGTAGCATGACACGATATGATGATGAAGAGGACGAACACAGTACAACCATGCCCCAGGCGGGACTCGAACCCGCGATCCTTCGGTCCGAGATCGCTACGGCACTACTGCCTTAGCAATCTCGGCCGTCCGGTCCGGCTTTAATAATCTTGACTGAACGAAATTCGAAAATACATCAGAAAAGCTAATATTAGATCAGATGACATAGACAAGATATATAAGATCACATGATCACAATATAAGATCAGATGACAAAGAGAGACCTTCAGACGCTAAGTGGATAAGGGAGAAGTTGCACCAGAGCAATAATAAAACAATACTGACCAAAGTTGTCAGAAGTACGTAAACAAGCTTTCTCGGAAACAATGAAAGCATATTGGAAAAACAAGAAGAACCTAAAGAAAAATTCAGTGAGTCTCTTGCTTAGCGTCTTCCATGTATGACAAGAATTCGCCAATAATAATAATAATAATAATAATAATAATAATAATAATAATAATAATAATAATAATAATAACTAATTGGGCTACCGCAGCACATACTTTCTCGTAATATTGGTAACAGTTATGCAATATTATAATATTGACATTTCTGTTACTCCGCGGTTATCACTTTCAAAATTTTTTCAACTCAGAAACATTGATTCCTGTAGAAAGCTTTTTCTTTATTTTTTTTATTTTTACACACTTCGTAACAAGAGAAAGTTATATAGTTGTGAGTAAAACTGCATAGTTATGCAACCTCGCACGATATTCGAATATTAACTTAGAGAGTATGGACGGATACAAGTAACTGAAACCTATTAGATAATTAAATACATTCAATACTAATTTATTACATCATCCAGAATTTCAAATGAGATTAAAGAGATAACCAAAAAGCACAATCAAATATAACACAGGACATAAACACACATACAATACTAATTTATTACTCCTGATAGAATTGTAGTACTATATCCGTTAGTGAAATAAATACTGTTTAAACTGCATTGTTATGCAACCCCGCACGACATTCCAGTATTGAATTAGATAGTATAAACGGACGAAAACAACTAATACCTATTAGATATGTAAATACACATTCAATACTAATTTATTATTCTCAACAGAAATTTATTCCCGGTACACTTTAATTAATAATTATATTTGAATAAGGCAGTTTAAGCAACCACGCACGGCATTCGAGTATAATATTATCGACAACAATAGAGCACAAACAAATAAAACCAAGTGGATAATAAAATACACATTTATTACTAATTTATTACGCCAAAAAATGTATTACTCTTGCCGTGTTTAAATAACCACAACTGATTTGAAATAAAAACTACTTATCTAGGTTACAGTGACCACGATGCACAAATTCTCACAATTACGAAGTTCTCTTTATTATCGAAATTGACGATTTTACATGGGTGGACAACTATGATTCAGATTTTAACAATATAAATTTAATACAAGGCATCATTAATAAATTGATCCTTGGGGTAATAAATTAGTCTTGAATGTCTATTTAAGTAATCTAGTATTTATCTAATAGGTTTCAGTCGATTGTGCGCGTTCGTACTCCCTAAATTAATAGTCGGATGTTGTGCGTGGTTGCATAACTATGCCTAATTATCTATATTTCATAAACGGGTATAGTAATAAATTTCATTTTAGAGTAATAAATAAGTTGTAATTGAGTACTAAATATTCGCATTAGTTTGAATCGATTCAGCCCATTTAAAAAAAATTGGTTGTGCGGGCTTGACAGTCATGCTAGCACAACCATATTAATTTCATAAACGGCAAGAGTAATAAATTTAATTTTTGGGTAATAAATTAGTCATAAATGAATACTAAATATTATATTCGGTTCGGTGTGATTGTGCTATAGTGGTTGAACTTTCGGTGAGACGTTCTCCGAGGTGAGGTCCAACGGAAAGAATGATACTTAAATATTATGTTAGGACACCTGTTCTCAGCGAAACAATTCGTTAAAATAAGAATAATTTTTGCGTTACTCTGTCTTTCATTTTTTGCTACCACGATTGAGGAAGTTCATAACTTAGGACTAGTTAAGAAATAAACGAAAGAGTATAAAATACATGTAAACAGAATTAGTTATTCTTAAAAGAATTTTGTAATGATGTAATATATTGATATAGGAAGGAATATTATGTGGAATTAAAAAGAAAGAAAGTTGTTTGAAAAAATTAATCCAGTATATTCTGTCTGAATGAATATTATTTTTTTGTTTTTATACAAGGGAAAATGTTTAAAAGAGTGTACATTGTTCTTAGATTTTCAGTTTTGAAATAATTTATATACTTTATTCATTTTTTGGAGTTTTGTGAAGACTAAATAGAGTACAATTAGTGAGTTTTCTTGTTTAAACTGGGAAAACTTACTAGAAAACATCACGCTAGTGTTATTGTGTTGTTTGATCATTACATTCTCCAGAACCCACTCCTTGAAATCAGAAATTTCTCACTTGTGTTATTGCCCAGTGGGAGGTCAAATCGATAATTACATTGCGATGAGAACATTAGTATCGTGTGAGGCCAATATAAATTGTATTAGCTTAAGAATTAATAACTACCAATGTTCCACGAACCGTGCTGCGGGCAGCTGCATCGAACGTACCAATTTATTTTAAAAAATGCATTGAGAAGGCTGGAGCTCATCTGGAGATTTAAGAAACTGTTAAACTAAATCTCAAAAATTAGTTTCTAACAACATTAGCTGTAAAAAATTGACGCAATAATAAAGAAGTTAAACTATCCAAAAATAGGGATTGACTTAATAGTGACTCTGTAATTTGTTTTGAGTAATATTAATCCCAATTTAATAGACGTTGAAAATTCTTTCTAGTGGATAGTGGTGGATGTCTATTAATTTCTTCTGAAAGAATGACTAAAAGTGTATGATCATTTCTTCTTGTGAATCCTATTTTCTTAACGTACCACTCGGCTTCCAAGTGTACTTCCAAAAAATACAAAAGTGTTTTAAGAAAACTAATAGTTCAGGCCAAAATAATCAAAAACAATCAGGATAATTTGAACGCTAGTAACAAACCTATAGCAATGTGGAATGTCGTAAAAAATACGACCACATTATCTCGATACTTCGTAGAGAATGTTTTAAATGATAACGAGAGAGAAGCAAGTTATCCGGAAAAAGTTGCCAATCTCATCAACCAACAGTTTCCTAGAATTATAGCTCATCTCACGAAGGCACTAAAACCATAAGATTCAATATCATACTCTTCACAAAAAAATTTCGAAACGATGTTTATTTCCGAAACTTCAACCAGTGAAATTCTCAGAATAGTAAGTAAACTAAAAAATAAATATTCATCTGGTTTGCATGAATTTCCGGATTGTTTATTAAAAACTTCTGCAACTGCCTTTATACACCCGTTAACTAATATTTTCAATACTTCTTTGTGCACAGGAATATTTTCAGATTCTTTCAAAATGGCAAAAATTAAGCCACTTTTTTAAAAAGGGAACAAATTCAAAATTACCGGCCAATTTCTGTTTCGTCAAAAATATTAGAGAGACTTTTTTATATGCGAATGTAAACTTTTCTCATTAAAAGGTAAGTGTTCTCAGCCTCACGACACTATTTTAGTAAATGAAAATCTACCGAAATTGACATTTTTTCTTTTCTAATAGATGTTGCTTCTGGACTAAATGTTCTGTTGTACACCAATAGGTTTTAATAGTATTTGTTCTTTAATTGTTAAATTGTATTTGCATTATCTATTCCTGAAACAATTCCATTTAGCTCTAATCAAAACTATTTGGCTTAATATCTTCTAAAGAACTGTCAGCCGGGCGTAAATCAGTCTGTTGTGTAATATATTGTAGGAATATATAAACATTGGTATCGAAACGATAAAACTAATGAAATAAGAGCGAGTTCAACAGAAGTAGCTAGTAAGAGCTAGTTGAACTGTAGCCTCCTGTTACTTACCTTTTGACCCGAATCTCGCATCTGCTGGTAAATATGTAGTTTTCTTGTGTACTCGCGAATGTTGTTGTTTTCTCGCGTGATGCGCGTAGCCCAGCGTCTTGCTTCCTTGCTGAGGCTTTGGACAGCTGAAGCGTGCTCCGCCGTCACTTTGTCCACCGTATCATTCTCGCAAGCTTCAAAATCGTACTGAACGTGTTGTTTCAGTACAGGGTAGTACAGGTAGAGGCACTGCAGGTTGTACTCACGGGTCAACTGCACAAACAATTCAGAGTTAATTTTTGATAGAAGACAAGTGGTAGAATATAAGTGAGCTACACCATTTTCAAAATATTCCAAACACCAGCACATGAAACTCTAATATTTTAACAGAAAGGTTCCGTAGCATCATCTTCGTGTAGGGTTCGTTCAATACTGTTCTAACCGAGAATTCAAAATGCTAAACTGTTGCCTAGTTTTCAAAACAGCACAATCTGAATTTAATACCCATTCATGAGAATTTTATGATAAATGACCTATTTATTGGAGACTTACTGACACAGAGACAGACACACAATGGTTCAGAGACAAACAGAGACAGACAGACAAACGGAGTAAAGATCTACGGTATGTGGTTCTGCGATTCATAACATGACATAAGTTTCACGGTTGCTTGATGTTTGGGCGCCACGATGCGTCTTGCTATTGACGCTCCGTAGTTCGAGAAGCAAGTGCGGCGGGCGGCGGGCTGCCCTTGTTCTCCGATGAACAAACATTTTTTTAAATGTTATTTGTATATGTCCCACTTTAAATGCAACATTAGTGTAGAAATACACGAGTTGAATTTAAATGTGGACCTAGAGTAAAAAATTGAATTTTAAAAATGAAAATATGTTTTAAATATTTAAATAATATGTTTACAAAAATTATATTTACATCACGAGAAAGTTCATCTTCTTAAGTTAAACTTAAGTGTAATTTAATTTTTCCAAAAGAAACGATGTACGAAAAAAAGTACAAAACATTAGCACGCGCATGATTCTTCAAAAAATAAAAAGTAATATTTCTAAAAGTGGTGTGATTAGAAAAAAAATAAATCCGTGTCACCTAGTTTAAGCCCTACAAGCCGCTAATAGTGATGTTTCGTGAGTGTGCGATGTGACGTGGAATGCCTCACATTGGACGACCAGCGACCGATACTCACTAGCCCCGAATGCCCAGGGTTCCCCGACTGAGAAGTTACGAGGGGGCATTTACAGTCGGAGAGATTGAAAAATGCCTGGGAATATCCCACAGAATTGACAACCGTCTCGGGGAACCACCGAAAGAGTCAAAATCGACGTACGCATTGCAAGCGAGATTTCACAGATTTTTTTATGATCATTCTTTATTAAACTGCACTCTTACTAACCGCGGCCTAGACCATAAAATATCAATTTACAAGGGTCTGCCCAATTTGAATTACCTGTATTTCAAACTATATTAGTATGGCTTATGAGAATCGACCAATAACCTCGTAATTTGTTGTGCTACAGTCGAGTAAAATATGTAGAAAGAAGGTAATAAATATATGGAAGAGAAGAAAATGGTATCGAAAATCGCTTCTATGAGAGACCAAAATCATATGTTCGCGGAATTCTGTTGATCACTCCTTCAATAATCTCCAGAAGATGCCTTCAAGATTAAACAAAATTCCACAAATAAAAGTATTGATTATGAGTTTCTGAATGGTTAGGTTCCATATTTTTTGACAGACGACATTTTTCTAACATTAATTTATTTCATAATCGTGCAACAGTTTCGGGGATTGTTGTTGACCCTAACACATCACAAACTCATAATTAATTAAAAGACTAAAATATGGAAATAGGAAAAGTAAAAATTGTTACAAATTTTTGTTTCGAAAAATGATTTCAGTATCAATGTCAAGCTTTAATCACCTAAAGATCACGAAAATGTTGAAAATTGTTATAAATGTTCCTCTATCATATTTGCGAAACTGTATTTCAATATTTTCAGTGATTAAAAAATACTGCGTTGGACCTAATTTGCAGTAGTTGTGGTACCTGTTGCGCTTGGTCCCTGATGCGTGTGAAAGATGTCTGCGTGGCTGAACATGTGAGCAGTTCCGTTCGCCCAATGAGCATTAGGTATTCGGCCACTTTTTCGAAGACACAATTCTCCATAGTCTGAAACATAACATCCAATTTCAGTAAAGAGCGTAGAATTCAAAGATTAAAAATACAACTTTGTGAAAAGATAGTTTCGTATCAAAGTGTTTTCTTTGCAATACAATATTAGCAGTAATATACTGACTACACGGTATAATGAGCGTAACTTTTCCTTTCAATGAATGGATAGATATTGAACAGTGATTTGTTCAGTGGCAGTAGTGATAATTGTATTACTGTGGGAAATAGAGAAAATATTTTAAACTCGAATAGTAATAAGATCCCAAAAATCCCCATTACAAAAATTTCAAAATACCAAAAAAACCGTTTTTGATATAAATTTAAATACTTTTGTACTTAAACCTTCAAAATTCAATTTTTTGGACTGTCGCTCGTAAAGAAGAATTTGACAATTCATAACAGCTGGTTTGCAGTAACGTACGCCGGCAGATATTGACCATTAAAAGCTACTCAAATTAGAAAAACATCGTATCCTGAATTCAAAAGTGAACAAAGAACTAACTCAGCAGTCCTTCACAGAGTTGCTAGAAATGCGAATTGAAATAACTCACTTTACAATAAACATTTCACATCTACAGCACTCACATTCAATAACTGAATATTTCAGATATATACATAAAAATATAAACATATAATTATGTATTATACACTGTCTCAGTAACTTCTAGGGCATGGAGTAGGTGAAGATCACTTTGTGGCAATAGCCATGTGATCGCATATTTCATATAACAATGTGATTCATAAGGCATTTGCTCCTGATGGCCGGGCAATACCATCATTATTTCCCTAAGATCACTACTTTTAACACTGCACAATTTCGTTTCTGGTCAAGTTCAAATCTGTACAATAAGCAATTGTGAGGGGGTGCTACACCCTCCTTTGTGGTCAACCCCTGTGGTGTGGGAAGCCCCCACTGCCTCCAGTGGATGCAGACTTCGCCGAGGCGGGTCGGCGCACAGCTTCGCACCGAGAAAACACGTGCGTGATTATTCGTACGCGGCGGACGTCGCACTCTATCACACACACGGCGGCCAATTACAGACAAAACTGTCTTCAACGTTTTAAATTATTGATTCTCATGTATTGCGGGGATTCTGATGTGATATTGTGGACGTAAGTACGTGAAGGAATAAAAAAAATGTCATCTCCGTCACCTTAATATATTTATTTAGAGAGCTTTCTAAATACATATATTAAGTTGACGGAGATGGCATCTTCTATTCCGTCATGTTTCTCATGTGTTGAGCAATCTTAGCCGACGACTGCATCAACTGATTATAATTTTTGCGTCGTCAGCCGTTCCTCGAGTTTATTTTGTGACCACGCACACAATTATTCGTATTTCAGAATAAACAAAAACTTCCATGAAAATATTAACTCTATAAATCCTATAAAACTAATCAAAATGTCTGATTCGATATGTACATCTCATACATATTCCATGCTCTGGTCAGTCATTGTCCGTGTTCATGTTCCTGATTCATAAATAGTCTTTGTAAACACGGGCTGTATTGACTCTGACCTGCCTGGACATCGATCTGTCGCAGTCCCGTCAGGCAACAAAAGTATGTTACATTGACCGTTTGTGCATCCACTTCAAATTGAAACAACGCAGCGAGGTAACAAAAGCCACTGAATTCATCCTAATATCGTGTTGGGTCTCCTTTTGCCCGGCGAAGTGGAACAACGCGACAGTGGAAGTCGGCGACTCGGCGAAGTCGTTGGAAATATTGCGCCACGCTGCCTTTAGAGCCATCTAGAAGTGTGAAAGTATTGCTAGTGCAGGATTCTGCGCACGAACAAACATCTCGATTATCTTCCACAAATGTTCGATGAGATTCATGCAGGGCGATCTGAGTGGCCAAATCATTCGCTTGAATTTTCCGGAATGTTCTTCTAACCAATCGCGAACCCGAATTGTGGCCCGGTGATATGGCGCATCGTCATCCATACAAATTGCATCGTTGTTTGGTAACATGAAGACAATGAATGCCAGCAAATGGTCTTAAAGTAGAGAAACATAATTATTTCCACTCAATGATATTGTTATGTGGTGGTATGCATGTTGTTTGATTGTATTAGTATTATATCAACGTTGACACATGTACACTATCTTAGCAACGGGTTGTTGATTCTTAGTTAAAATAAAATCATGTACATTTTACAGTCTCATGACATTTAATGTCCCAAATTAAGTCACGCAAAATCAAATTGAAATCAAACAAATAATCAGTTTATTGGACCAGAGGACATAGTCCAGTCAATGCCAAACACGTCACCAGATGGAGCCATCACCCAATTGCCGAGTGCCTTGTTGACAACTCGGGTCCATCGCTTCGAGGGGTCTGCGTCGAACTCGAACCAATGAAAGTCGGCGAAAGCCATCGGCCACTGCGTTGTTCACGGTAAGATTGGAGCATTTTCTCTGCACTCTCTTGACACTGTGGATCTTGTAGTATTGATTTCCCTAACGATTTCCGAAATGGAATATTCCATGCGTCTATCTCCAACTACCATTTCGTGTTCAGTCTTTAAATTCCCGTCATGAGGCCATAATCACGTCAGAAACATTTTCACATTAATCACTTGAGTACAAATGAAAGCTCTACCAATGCGTTGTCCTTTTATACAATTTGTATGCAATACAACTGCCATCTGTATATTTGCAGATTGCTATCCCATGACTTTTGTCACCTCAGTGAATTTTAAAATACATTACCACTAAATTGCAATACGATGCGCTACTTACCGTCATTGTATTTTGCAGATCAACCACGAAATAACGAGTTTGATGAGCATTAGCAGAAGCTAAGCTGAGCAAATATTCATTACGTGCACCTGTCGACTTTTCTTCTAATTGCTCGCGTTTCGATGAGACCTAAACAAGAAAATATTATTAACTTCGACAGTTTTTCTTACTGTAACTACGAATGTGTAATTAATAACTATATATTTCTCAGAACGTAACAATACATTAACATTAGCAATTCCTAACAAATAGAGCCTAAACGGGCTAAATCGTACATGCATTTATCACTTGTGATGGACGATTAATGATAATAATAATAGGAATAATATAATAAATGTAATATATAATAATAATAATAATAATAATAATATTGTTTACAAGGAAGGCGCAGAAGGCAGTTGTGTGTTGAAAGCTGTCGCAGAATAGTGCGAAAATTTATGGGGCTGTAGGGTTCGGCTATGATTTTCTAACAAATCGTGCTTCTTAAAAATACACTTCGCCATGTATGACTTGCACATTTTTGTCTTTATATTAATAACAAGAAGACCAAGAAACCGAAAATGCGCAAGAATTTTTTGTTATTCCATATTAAGAAAGTTTTGGTATTCCATAATATAGAACGTGAATGTTATGATGAATAAGAAATAATCAAAATACAAATGATACGTATTAATATTTATCAAAACACATTCCCATACCTATCTTTCGGGAACATTTTTTACCATCTTCAGGGAGGTCTACAACAACTAGGGAAGGAACATTTTTAAAATACGATTTTTAAAAGAAACGGGTACAAAATGAATAGACAGATGTAAGATGCATCTTATGAGCAGAAAATACAAAACCAATTAGTGGCATAGCAAAATGATGCAGATTCTCTCGCATAATTTAATTTCCTACTCATCCTCCTTATCATCCCTTTTTAATACAATGCAATTTTTCTAAAAATTCAGTGTTTTTCGCATTAAAATCAGAACGATCTGTCCAAGGAACGCGTTCTTTTCTTGTTTTGTAGAGAATGTTTGTATCTTCAGAAGTTCTTCCTAATATTCGTTTCATATTTACACCTACATCTCGGATAATACATGTAATTATCGTGGACTGGACGTGGAAATAGCGTTTATTCGATATTAAAAAAAAGCTTTTCTACTTTTTTGAAGTTATTTGGCATCGAATCATCATTTTACTTGCAGTGGTAGAAAGAGAGCGGGCGGGGGTGTACTGTTTTGTTAGCAATGCTAAACAGTCAAATCTGCAATTCGTTTACCAATGCAAATAAGTTTTCTAAAATCCGGGAGCAAAAAGAGTTATTTAAAAAAATGTTGCTAATATCGCCCTTTTTAACTTATATTTATTATTCTTTATTTTTATTACTTTTTTTAAACTTTTAATCATCTTTGAACTATTTATTGTTAAAATGTTGGGAAGGGATTCTGGAAACGTGCGCAGGTGATCCTTCTCTCCCTTACGTCACATACGATTTTTACTGTTCTTTGACTAAATAAATCAAAACAAATAGTTCAAGTAAAATGATTTTAGATAATAAATTTGTAACCAGGAGACCAAAAAGAATTGAGATAGATGGAGGCAGTGAAGAAAATATTGACAAAAAATTATTTATTACAAACATGATAATTTTGTGTTGCATAACATTATTTGGGCATGGAAGCCACAAACGACCCCAAAAGGGTTAAGTGCTTGCAAAGAAATATCAACTTTCAGAAGAAGAGCAACCGCATTATAAATGAGCAAGTATTCAGCCATCACCTAGCACGAATTCCGTGCGGCAGTACACTTATAACTAACAGAATCATCGACGCAAACAGACAATACGTTTTATTTTATGAAATTGCAAGAAAAGCAAGGATTGTCGGTATTCCAGTTCCTACAGATTACAACCTAGCGTGGTCAGTTTCTGTGAAAAAAAACGAAAATACCACCATTTACCCATTTAGATTAATGATATCCACAGATTACAGAGAGGAGAGAATGTATCTGTGATTGTGCCAGAAAACTGAAAAAAGTGTGCTGCTACAAGAAAAACACTTCAGGAATATTCTTTACTAGCCACAAGAAACACCATCATACATTCTGACTCGTCTGGATTGAGGTAGGAGGAAAGGTTCAGGAAAAGAAGACATCACCATAATCCATCAATATTGGGAATCATCCATCAATATTGGATTGTTGAGAACACACTATGAAGATGAAATCGATATTCTTCACTGTAACTCTGTACAATTCTACAGACAAATTATGTCATGGTCAGAAAAGCTCAGACATTTTTTGAAATGAAATGCACAATGAAGTGTAATAATAATAGTAATAGTAATGATGATGATAATAATGATGATGATAATGATGATGTTAATGATGATAATGATAATGATAATGATGATGATAATGATAATGATGATGATGATGATGATGATGATAATGATGATGATAATGATAATGATAATGATAATGATAATGATAATGATAATGATAATGATAATGATAATGATAATGATGGTGGTGGTGATGGTGATGGTGATGGTGATGGTGATGGTGATGGTGATGGTGATGGTGATGGTGATGGTGATGGTGTATTCAAGATATGCAGAACAGTGATGCTTACAAGGCTACTGAAAGTTTATTTCAGAGAAAGTTTGTCAAGATCGTGTCAACTAACCATTACGTTCTTCCATCACTTCTCTGGGGAGAAAGAGAGTGAAGAACCGACTCATCAGCAAACAGCCACTCTCACGACTCTAGAGAGTGAAGTTACATCTATCTCGGTTCTCGTCATTTGATTAGAAGGCAAGCATGAAGATTCAGAACATTAAACCCATAACGACTCATTTGTCTCTCAGATCAAAGAATGCGTTTTATACAGGGAGACTCCTGGACATGTGGCGAAAACCAACCCTCAGGATCCATGATTTTAGATTGCCTTTACTGTTTGTTCATTAATTCGTTTGTTCATTCATTCATTTGTTCTTTCGTTCGTTTGTTCATTTGTTCGTTTATTTATTCATACGTTAGTTTATTTAATCGTTTGTTCATTTGTTTATAAATTAACTCATTGGTGTTTAAAGCGTCATTTACACTATTTTTTCATGTATTTATATACCCTGCAGGACGTGAAAACACGTGTAAGCAGCTCTGAGAAATATTACTATCAATTACTAGAGATCAAGACACGACAAAATATAAAAAATAATAGTTTGTAACGTAATATAAAATAGTAATTAATCAAAATGTAAACAATAATAGTAGTCTAAAATAAAAGCTTTGGACTGGAAACAATTGTATATTGCATAAGTTGCAAAATACCAAGGACTAATACAAAATTTTAATTAATAATTGCAGACACGTACGAGCAGTTGACAATACGGAAAGAAAAGAACTCATGAAAAAAAACAAAAACCAAATAAAACGAACTCTAGAGTGCATTGACAAAGACCAATACAAATTATCACTTCGCCTATGTAATAATTAGATGTAAAAATAGTATTCGAAGTTTTAAAAAAATTAAAAAAGCACATAAAACAAACAACAGTATGGGTATGTATATGTTCTTAATATTATGCTTTCAAAACAATACCAGCGATAGCATTTAAAATTAAAAAGTTCTTGTTTACAATTAACATTTTGCATTTTAACCATATTTTAATACGATATCTCAAATTTTTATTATATTACAGTACTAGTGTTAGTGTATAAGAAGTTAGTACAACCAATGCGATAGTTAAATTCAGTACGTTAGGTACTAATAGTTTCAACTACACCAACAGTACTAACAGTTCAGTACGTTAGGTAGTTTATTATGAATTCCAACAACTCTATAAAAGTGGTTATGTTTGCCTTCTTGTAATTCAACTTTTACATTTGTTCATTTATACATTTTTAATTGATTAATTTATTAATTTATTTCCCGCTCAGCGGTCAGTAGTCGGAAACAAAAATATCTGACTTAAGAAACCATAGCACAAAGACAAGCTGGCCGCCGACGAGAGATAGGAATAACCTCACCGCCGCGCCCTGGAGAAAGAAGACACAACGCACAATTCTTAGCAATTATTAAAGAAAGAAAGGAGAGAAAGGAAAGAAAGGAAAGAAAGGAAAGAAAGGAAAGAAAGGAAAGAAAGGAAAGGAAAGAAAGGAAAGGAAAGAAAGGAAAGGAAAGGAAAGAAAGGAAAGGAAAGAAAGGAAAGGAAAGAAAGGAAAGAAAGGAAAGAAAGGAAAGAAGGGAAAGAAAGAAAGAAAGAAAAGAAGGAAAGAAAGAAAAGAAGGAAAGAAAGAAAGGTAAGGAAGGAAAGAAATGCTCAAGAAGTTTAGATTGATAGAACTCCAAATAATGTCAGAGAAACATTTGAAATGCCTAATTACTCCGTGCTATTGAGTTATTACACCCATTGCAAAAGCAAATTTGAAAGAAACAATTTACTTCATCCGTACACCATACATAATACTAACAAAATGAGACATTTACTACGTGAAGCCAAATTTGCTAAAATTGTTTTTCCTTGTCACGAGAAAAATATATCACTTAATTTTAAAATCTTACCTTGGCACTGTTCTTTTGGAGTGAGGTAATAGACTGGAAGAACGAACCCTTCTTCTTTTTTAGCCTAAAACAAATTCACAATTTTTTAGGTCAAAATTTTAAATTGTCATATATTATTATTTTATGGTGTCGCAGGATTTTGTTTCCAATTGTGCAGGTACAAAATGTGAATCAGAACTTGTTAAAAGCGGATCCTCCGTAAAACCTGGGCAAATGGAAAATTGGGAAGCCAATTTGCCGGCGTCATTAGTTGATTTGCTTAACCATTGCGTGAAATCACGGAAGTTAAGCAAGTCGAGACACCACGAATTTCTAGACAGGTGGCCGTCTGGAAACTCCGGTTACTAACGGCGCCGAGCCTCTGGCCGAGGGATAAAAGACTGCCTGCGACGTGACTAGACAAAAAGGCAAAAACTTAAGGGAGATACGCTCAATATTCTAGATACGCTCAATGACCAAGAAGAGCTAAGACAAGGGCTGTTATTATTTGATTTTTTTTAAATACAGAGAGTTCGCCGAAAGTAAAACCAACATAGCTGTCCTACTGTTTTTTGTTATATACGATGAAAAAATTAAGGAAATGGGGAGTCATATTTGAAAATATATTTGATTAAAAAGTCTTTATATCAAGGATAATTATACACAAGCTACTCATTTGTTTTAGTATTTATCTTTTAACAGTAAATTTTACAAAAAACAATCTATCTTTAATATTGTAGTTTAAGTTCGAAATAATTCCGAAACTTTTACAATTTTTGAAAGTTTAGAGATTTGATCGAGAATAACGCCAGTGACATTTTTAAGCCTCCTGTACGCTACCAAAGTTTATTCAAAAAAAATCTCGCCATTTTTGATGGAATTTAGAAAAAATGTTTAAGGCATAATGTAAAGTACCACAAAGATCACAATACCAGTTTCAATTTTGCAGACTCTCAAGTTCATTTAGATCGATTAGAGAATATCCGTTTTTGAGAAAATCGTCTGAGCGGTTACGCCGTTAGCGTTGACAACAGCCGAAAGACGGATGACCGACGTTTTGCCGTCAACCAATTTTTCAGTATCAAGGACCTACAAAAAACATGTTGGAGGAAGGTATTTACTAAGGAAGTAGATTTATCCTCTTTTAGGTACCCACAATATGTGTGTTTTGTCGAAAAATTGCCAATTTCTGCCGCAGCATTACAATATGGTCTCTTTACTGAGTAAGTACGTAATGAGGTGAGAAAATAAAACCTCACCAAATACTTCAGTGTTCATAATTCATGTTTGGAACTTGTTTGACATATACCTGATACACTTGTAATTGCGAATTAATCGTCTCAATGTTTACTTGGGTAGTAATTAGTAACTCTAAAGAAACGTTAACTACTAAAAATGATTAGCAGATCTCTTGTTGATGATTCGCCCGTATGGAATCCTGCAGCTCCTCTGACATTTATTATTAATGCATATTTAAAAACGAGAATCTTCTCAGATATTTAGAATAATCAAACGTAAACCGTTTTAAACTGATGCTACATCAGCACATAGGTTCTTGCATTTATTTCTGAATTTACAAACTTTCGAAAATTCAGAGAGTTCATCGAAAAAGAGATCCGCGCCATTCTTTTAAGCGTTCCTTCTTTTATCCGTGGAAAATGTTTCACAAAACTTTTGTGGAGTGTTTTTTGAGAAACAAATTGAAGGAATTTCATACATTTCAGACACAAATTACGCGAACTGTACTATTTTTTTTTTAATTGTGCATGTACTTTTTTAAAGGGCTGACTTTTACAACAGACTTTGTTTAAGACAAAAATCGCTATCTTCAATTTTGTTGTTTTGAAATATTAACTTTTTGCAATCTTCGAAGAAATTGTGAGTCCGCTGAAAATGGGATTTGCGCCATATTTTTTATACACATGAGGAGAGAATGTTTTTAAAAATCTGGGGCGGTTTTTCAGGATTTTTTTTTTAAAGTTGCCTATATTTCGCGCAAAATTACAAGAAAACTACTCAAATATTCGAAAAGTTGAACGTGGCGTTATTTCAAGATCTGTATTTACAGAACTGATGTCACTCAGAAAGAAAATCTGCCTTCAATATTGTAGTTGGAGGAAGACACCCCAAAAAATTGCACTTTTGCAATTTTTGAAAAATAAGGGATTTCAACGAACCTCAGATCTGCACCATTTTCTTAAGCGTCCTTAATAATCAAGGACAAAGTTTAATAAAAAAATTTGATCCATTTTTCAGAAAAAAAATGAAAATGTTTTGTAGGCTTGATGTAAAATACCCTCAAAAAAAATATTGTATTAATTCCGTCTTGTGTTCAGTGGGAAATAGTTATTCTAATTATCGTTCTCCATGCTGTCGCGGCAGGAAGTACATTCCTTCACGAAGAACACGATGAGAGACAAGAGTTCACATCTATAGCTGATTAGCCCTTGAAAATATATTACATTATATTACATATATTACAACCCCTTGGAAATTTATTACATGGGAGCGAATACTTCCTTATCAATTTTTACCACAAATGCTCATTTATTTCTGTATTCAGAACGCAAATTGTAGATGGCTTAGGGCAGGGATTTTTGGAATTATGTAAATGTGCACAAAATACACTTTTCCCCGTAGTTCGTCACACACAGATTTTAATTGTTTTTGACGTTTTTTTGAAAATTTTCCGAAATCCTTCAGTTCTTTCAGATCAATCGGGGATATCAGAGACTGAATTTCGGAGAAAATCAGTCGGACAGACGGATAGACGGACAGACTTCATTTTGCCGTCAATTGATTTTTCGCTATCAAGAAACAACAAAACACGGATTCTGGCTAAACCACATGTTATACCGTATAATTTGTTGTATCTAGCTTAGGATTAATACACCTTTTCGTTACCAGGGCCCGGCAATAAGAGATATTTTTCAAAAATTCGCCGTTTTCCGGTGAACAATACATAACTTTTTCTTGCAAAGTAAGTGCGAGAAAAAAAGGCATTGATCGCGTACATTACACCACTGCACCACAATAGCACTTCACTGCATTACAATAGCACTTCACTATTTTACTGTGGATTACACTGACCAGCACATCACAGCACTTTCTTACTGATTTAACTAAGTGCACTTCACGCCACTTAGTTAAATGAGTAACTAAGTACTGTGAAGTGCTGGTCAGTGTTACTGGAAGTAAAACAGTATATTGTAGTGCAGTAAAGTGTAAAGATCTCGATCAACGCCTTTTTTAAACCTAATTTAGCCAATGCCTATGTATATTGTATTGACATTCGGTATCACTATCATATAATCGTTGTATATCATGATAGAGTTGAAATAAATGTTATGACACATAATATTAGTGATAGTATCATTAATGTATCTTCATTTTGTACTGTATTCTTTTCGTTGTTGCGAACTGGTCTTCTAGGACCATGCGGACATACATCTGCACTTACCGAGGCTTAGTTACATTTATCCGGTGACAAGTGTACGTGACTTGTTTTTGCGGGAGATAAGCATTATGCAGTGTTGCTAGTCCCGAGGGGATGGGATGATAATAATGAAGTATGACTGAACGACGTATACATACTTACATACACAAACACACACATACCCGAGGCGGGAATCGATCCCGCCGACCGAGGTCGCCACTGCATTACTGCCTTAGCGAGCTCGGCTATCCGGATCGGCATGGTTGTTGTTATTATTATTAATCATTATTATTGTTAGTATTACTTGGTCGAGAATTGGCCATCTCGGGACCACGCGAACATGCAACCCATCGGGCTTCAGTTTCTATTCATCGAGGGTGGGTGCACGTCACTATTACGGGTGATCAGCTTTTTCGCGCTGAATCCATTTTTGCACTCTGGGTTGTTAGCCCTGAGGGTATTATTATTATTATTATTATTATTATTATTGTTAATTAACTGACACCGAATCATTCCCAATTGCAGTTCAAATAAATGTATGTATGAAAGCAAAAATAAGTTGGAACTATAGTGCGGAACTATAGCCCAAATCTCCTTTTGTCAGTTTTTTCCAAAACTTTGGTCATGTTTACGTACGTCAGAAATAATTTCTCAATGAACATTTTCACAGATTCACAACATGTTGACGACGAGCTGCCAGCCGCACCCGATGGCCCAGTCGTCGCCCCGCCAATCCACCCGCCGTCCTTTCCGTTGCGGGCCTCGCCATGAAGCCCAGGGCGCACTGCGTGGGCGGAGAGCGGCCGCGCGCGGCGTGGACCGCGACGAGACAGCAAGCAGCGCCAGAGGGCGCACCGGAAGCCGCCGAGAGAGGCGACTCCACGGAGGCGAACGACCAGATCGCTCGTTCCATTGAAGGCCCTACCCTGGGGGCCGGGGTCCGCGCTGGCAATGCACGGATGCGCTCGGAGGGCGCCTTCGCGCCACAAGAACTCTCCTTTGGGGGAGTGGGACTGTGATGACGCCGAAGCTGTCTCATTTGCAAAGTTCATGTGGAGTGAATAAAGTTCGTTAAGTTGATGTACCTCCTTCACTTATCAAACACTTCATGTACAACTTTGGAGAATGTTTTGGCGTAAAAGATTAGAAGTAGGAACCCCAATCCGCAAGCCGGTCTTCACACCAAATGGCCCTAATTTCAAATCATCACTTGCAGAAGAAACTTACAGAGCCTACAGGTCAGGACAAAATTCTACCATAACGTGCTGTAGGGCTAAATTTTCTTCGTAATTCTATACCCGCTTTTGTACACTGTCTTTTGCTAAAAGGCGACTTTCGAAACGACTACATCCAGAGTTCGATATTTTCTGACAGCGATTCTGCCGAATTTATTCATTCTGTCAATGGCCTACTGACACCAATGTGTTATTCCATTTAATAGAGCTCCTTTCTTAATCAATAGCTTGCATTCATTGCTTTCTCTCAACACAAATCAATATTTTTGTAAATGAGTTTTGATCTACATTTGTCTACATACTCTCGTGTTATCATTACATATTCATTGCTTTCCATCCATCTGCCTTTGCTGGTTGTCTTCGACTCCTTCGAACTATATCCCCAGAAACTCATCATCTTGTTATGAAAATATT